CTTGTTCCCTTCTGCTCCTTTTGTGTCAGGAGAGAATGTGACTTTCTTTTTTACTTCGGTTCTACGTAATTGATCGATATGTCTCTTGAAAACGTACCCACTGTCGAGTTTGATGAGATAGTGGAGTTGACCAAACTTCCTAATAACTGTTCCAAATTTCCATACAGGTTTTTGGTTTGTAAAGTAACGTGCCTGTACTCTTCCTCCCAGCGGTATATTGCGGGTGCCTGGAATTCTTTTGTAGTTGACAATATTCTTCATTTGCTTGAGGATATCCAATTTAATGCGGAAGTTGCGCTGGAGATAAAGTTCCGCCGGAGATTTTCCACATGCAAGTGGTGTAGCTCTATATTTGAATAAAATTTCTCGAACCTTTTGGGTTAGTGTAAGAGATTCCTCTTGCATCGACTTCAAACGTTGTTTCAGTGTTTGCACATTTCTTTCCGCAAGACCATTCGTAGCAGGATGACCTGGAGCTATCAATTTTTGGAAAATGCCGCTTCTATGGCAGAAGTGTTTAAATGTTTTACTAACAAAAATTGTTGCGTTGTCGGATACCATCACTTTAGGAAAACCATGAGTCGAAAAAATATCTTTTAATAGATCTATAGTCTTTTCTGATGTCGGTGCTTCTTTGATGATTCGTATTTCAGCCCATCTTGAACGAGCATCTATTACAATTAGAAAATAGTGGTTTTCAAATGGTCCTGCATAGTCTATGTGAATCCGGTCCCAATTAGACGTTGGTTCTTCCCAATGGTGTGTTGGAGCCTTTGCTGGGTTTTTACTTCTGCGCACTTTTGACGGGATCTTACTGTGTTTTCGATGTCTCGGTCTATTCCCTTCCAGATATAGTAGCGACGTGCCAGTTGTTTCATTTTTGTAATGTCAACGTGTGTTTTGTGTAATTCTTCGAGAATTTTTGATTGTAGTCCTTTTGGAATGACTGCGCGTTGACCCTTGAATATTATTCCGGCTTCAAGTGTGTATTCGATGTTGTCAGCTTCACCATTACGTAAGGCCTGTTTGATTTTCGAAAGGACTTCATCCTTATCAGTTTCTTGAATAATTTTTTCAGTAGTAAGTTCTTCAGTTGAAATTTCGAAGATGGTCGAATAACAAAGTTGATGAACTTCTTCATTGATGGCAATATCAGTCGAATAATACCTTTGATGTATTGGAGCTCTGGATAAACAGTCTGCATTAATGTTTTCATTTCCTTTCTTATGTTCAACTTCATAATCAAATCCTGATAAAAACGATGCATATCGAAGTAAACGGGCTGAAGTCATCGCTGGCAATTTATTATTTTGGTGGAATATTCTAGTGAGAGGTCGATTATCCGTTATCAGTTTAAATTTGCGTCCGAATACGTACATAAAGAAGTGATTGATTGCAAATACAATTACAAGAGCCTCACGGTCAAGTTGACTGTAATTCCTTTCTGCTGGCGTTAACGATCTGGATGCAAAAGCAATGGGTTTTTCGATACCGTTAAGGACGTGCGATAGGATTCCTGCAATGCCTGTAGGGCTGGCATCACATGTAACAACTAATGTAGATTTTGGATTATAAGGCGTTAAAATTCGATCACTTGAAATTTCATTTTTGAGTTTCAAAAATGCACCTTCACAAGCCTTGGTCCATTTGAATGTTGAGTCTTTAACGAGTAATTTCCTCAATGGGTAAGTAATTGTTGACGCATCCGGAATGAATCTTGAGTAGTATGTTACCATACCTAGAAAACGGCGTACATCGTCAGCAGTGGATGGTCTAGTCATGTTGACAATGGCTTCAACTTTCTTGGGAGATTTCGAGATTTTGTTGAATCCAATAGTATGTCCAAGATATTCGATTTCTTCTTGGAAGAATGAACATTTACGTCGGTTAAGATGTAAGTCATATTTCTTTAGACGCTGTAAACAAGCATATAGATTTTCCTGACACTCTTCCTTAGTAGATCCATGAACGATTATATCATCGAAATACGATAGCGTTTTATTGAGGCCAGACAAAATTTGATCTATGATGCGATTGAATTCCGATGGAGCTGTTTTAATACCGAATGAGAGCCTGTTCATTCGGTACGTACCTCGGTGTGTTGAGATAGTTTGTATTTCACTGCTTTCTTTATCGACCTTCAAATGTAAGTATGCTTTAAATAAATCAAGACGGCAAAAGAATCGTGAATCCCGTAAACTATTTAATATTTCATCGATTCGTTGAATTGGGTAGTTAGCTGAAATTAGCCTCTGATTGACTCCCATTTTGTAATCCACGCATAAGCGGACACCCCCATCGGTTTTAGGAATAACAACTAATGGCGATCCCCAGTCACTTAAGGTCACTTTAGAGATAATGCCTGCCGCTTCAAGGTCGTCAAGTTCCTTTTCAACTTTTTCTCGCAGTGCGTAAGGTATTTCTCTTCCCTTATGGAAGATGGGTTTTGCGCCTTCTCGTAATTGAAGTGAAATTAAAAATTCTGGCACGCATCCTATTTTTTCTTCAAAAATATCTGGAAAGTGGTTAATAATGTTTTCAATATTATTGATTGCTGGAATTTGAGGATCAATAGTGTTGGCTCCCAATTCTTTATCAATTTCCTGGAGATTTATGTTTAGATTACGAATCCAACTTCTTCCTAAGAGTGGCGACATATTATCTGGAACAATGTACATCTTTTCAAAAGATACTTTATCTTTATAACAAACTTCAACTTTAATTTCTCCATCTGGAAGAAATACATTATTTGAATATGATCGAAATGCAATAGTTGATGTACGTGGTTTGTTGCTTAGATTCAATTTTTTAAATTCCTTCCGTGGAAGCAATGTAACTCCTGCACCAGAATCGACTTCGAATGTTTGAGGTTGTCCTTCAATAACAACTGTAGTAAAATACTTCTTGGACTTATCGCGTTCTGAGCCTTGATTTTCGTATATATCAATAATATGATTGACTCCATAAGCTGATATTTCCTCCCGTATACAATTAGTTGATTTTGTGTTAGATGTATTAGCTTCATTATTGTTCAGAAGTGATCGTATACAAACCTTAGAAAGATGACCCGTTTTATCACATGCGGTACATTTAAGAGTTGATTTGTTTGTCCGGCAATCCTTTGCAATATGATTACTGTTACCGCAACGTAAGCATAGACCTTCGATTCCCAATTGTCTGTAATCAATTTTTGATTTAGATCTGGTCTTATTATTTTTGTATCTACCAGGGCTTTTTGCGCTGAATTTATGGTTTGATGTCGAATTATCACGTCTGGACTTCCGCTGCCTTGTTACTTTTTTAACATCTTCAGTGTGATTAGCTGTATTCAGAGACGGTTGATTCTTTGAAAGTTCGCGACTGTCAATTTTGGAAGCTTCTAGTACGAGGGCCTTTCCTGTGATTTCTGTGAATGTTAATGCATCAGATTGAAGTAGTTGTTCGCGAATAGTGTTGTCCTTTATACTTCTAATGAATTGAGCACGTAAAAATATGTCTGAAATTGAAGTTTTACATTTACATGGTGAGACAAAATCACAATCACCTATGTCTTGACGTAAGAGTGCTATATATTCAGCAATTGATTGATCTTCATTATGGTACGTCGAAAGAAAACGATGTTGTGCTACTAATATATTTTTCTTTGGGCATAAATGCTTTTCTAAGATTTCCATTAGGTTAGAATATTCTAGTGTACTAGGTAAGCTGGGTGCAACTAATGCTGATAACGTATTGTAATATGTTGCACCAATAGAATTAAGGAGCATTTTTGTGCAAAGTACCTTGTCTGTAGCTATACCTTTCATTTGTAAATAATTTTCAAATCGCTGACGATAGTACCTGAAGCTTTCTTTCTTGGGGTCGAAATTTTCAAATGATGGTAGAAGTGTCGCATTGATTGCCGGTTGTTGTCGAGATGAGGCCACCTGATTGAGCAATTGCTGCTGGTTGTAATTTATCAGTTCGATAATGCGTTGGAATTGAGTTGCATCCATCTTAGACCGTTTCTTGGCTCTACTTTATGTGTGCAATATGATGTCGAAAAATGTTTCACCTCGTTGCCAAAATTATTGTGTCGGTTATTTTGAGGATGGTCAATATAGCAAGAGTTGTAATTAATGCGGATCTTCAGATACGACGATATTGTGCTAGTAAAAAGAAGGATTTATTATATGACTCTTCAGATACAAAGGTATTATATCACGTCGTTACGTATCGCCATGAATTCCGTGTTCCGAGAGAGAGAAAAGGCAGTGGAAGAATCTAGAACAGTCTTCGAGATATGATATATGAGAGGTAACTCGGTAGGCAAGAACGCCATCTAACGGTATGGAAAAAAGTGTCTCTCTAAATGTACAACTACCAACATAATAAGTTCATAATACAGCACACCTTCCTGGTCCTACCAAACGCCCAGCAAGGTCTTATGCTCGTGAATATTCCTCTTCGGCGTTGAAGCGGATGGTTGGCCGGGATATATCGGTGATTTTTTTTGCTTGGAATTATCAAAATAAATCCATTTTTCATCGCCAGTCACGATGCGCCACAAAAAACTCTTTTTTCTTTACCTGGCAAGCAAAGAAGTCGCAATAGTCAACGATTCGAAATGACATTTTCTGACAACTCATGGTAACCATCTCCCTTCCTTATGGATCTTTCTCATGGCATGCAAGCGTTTTGAGACGGCCATTGGAGTAACATTTAACTGTTTCAATAATTCTAAAAGCGTTTGAGCTGGATTCTCATCAAGCAATTCTTGCAGCTCGACATCTTCAAATTTTTTCGGCTATCCTGGACGTTCTTTGTCTCTCACATCAAAATCACCATTTCGGAAGCATTGAAACCAAACTCTACATGTTGGTTTCGATGGAATTTCATCACCATACATTTCGAATAATAAGCAATGCGCTTCAGCTGCGGTTTCCTTGAGGTCGAAGTAATGAAGAAGCACATGTCGGAAAAACAGCTTATCGCGATTCATTTTCAATCGATTGGAAAATCTCTTTGGCGTCGAGAAATCTAACCTGCGAGGATTGAATCACTTTCAGCGATGTCTAAACTACAAAAGACATGTGATTTCATCGTCAGCGTTGGAGGCAGAGCCCTCTAGTAGCGAGCGATAGGAATTAAATGTAACACCTAATATATATTTTATCACATATTATGTATATATCTTTTATGTTTTTCAAGATATTTGTCTGGCTAAATTAAAATGGGACATTTTGTATAATTAATTAATTTTATGAAATAAAAGGAAATATAATTACTTTTTTCTTTTTTTTTTGTATTATTATGTAGGTTGATACAAGATGGAATACATTACATCACATGATTAGTAGTTCCTGATAATCACAATGGTATCCAAATGATTAAATTAACTGACGCGTACTCAGATCTTAATGTTTTAACAAAGGAAGAAGTACAACTGATGAGACAAATAAATATGATATTGGAACCTTTTGACCAAGCAACTAAGGATATTTCTGGTATATCAACGATTTGTCAAATCCTTTTTATTGATATATGAATTTTATTAGATATTTTAATTTTTGCAGGTGCTGAATATATATCAATTTCACTTGTGATTCCTTGCATAAAAGGTATTTTATTAAAATTGCAAGCTGTTCATGAAACATTAAGTTATCCAGCAGCTATTTTGTTTTATGGATCAATTTATAACTTATTGACGAAAAAATAATTCATTATGAGCTACGAACGATTAGCAAAGTGGCTACATTAATTGATCCAAGATTTAAGAACGTAGGATTTCGTTCAGAAGCAAATTATGAAGACTCAGTTCATGTGGTACAAAATCTTCTTGCCGCTCAATTAAAAGCTTCTAATCATATGAATACAAATGTTAATGTTACTTATTTGAACACTAATAATAAATCTACTCGTATTTTCAGTTTTATAGAAAGTTCTCCTCAATCTGTGCAGTCAGTGTAGACAATATCATTTTAGTTAGAAACTTTCTGTCATGTCCAAATATTAATCTGTTAGAAGAACCTATACACTATTTGAAAACTAGACATCCAGGAATTTATTTAATAGCTTTGAAATATTTGTGTACTCCTGGCAGTTCTGTACCAGTGGAACGATTATTCTCTGCCACTGGGTATATTATTTCTGAAAGAAGAAATAGATTGTCTCCCAAAAACGTACAAATATTAAGTTTTTTAAATAAAAATTACAAACTTGTTATTTAAAAAAATTCTCTTAGTTATATCCTATTAGTCTATTAAGTTTATTTTAAGAAATAAAAAAATATTGTATTGTATACACATATACGCAATGTATGAATATGTGAAAATAAAAAAGTAAAAGTTTTAATTTCAGTTATAATTTTTCTTTATTTTAAGTGCTTTTCAGTAGGTTAATAAGAAACAGAAAACAATTTTAGTTAAACGATTATAAATCGATTAATCGATAATGGCAAAAAGGGTAATCGATGATAATCGATTTAGGATTGCAGCATAATCGATTTAATCGATTTCGCAAAATGGTCGATTATGCCCATCACTAGCACGCCTAGCAGGCCATCCCCATTCCCAACGGCCCGCGCGCCGTGCGATCGGTGGGGACGGTAGGTTGTATATTCGGCAGCAGTAGGCCGGCCTATTCGACGCGCTTATTCGGCTATCTTTAAACGTTAATATTTCGTTAATTATTGCGCAAACTACAAAATGGTATAAGAATTTTCGATTCAGTTCGGTCCGTTCTACCTGCTCGTGACAGGCGTCGCGAAAATTTTTAAACACCCTGTATATATACACGTATATGTGATAATTATACAGAATAGTGTTTTCCAAATTTTCTTTGGCTGCAATGTTGATAATCTTTGTTATGACTTAGATAGTGATAATAAACCGGGGGAGATCGAAAAACATATAATTTACCTATTTTTTAAATTATTTATTTTCAATATAGTTTCCGTAGTGATTTATTACGTGCGTTCGAACTTCCACACGAAGCGAGATCTACACCACCTTCCTTCTTGCCTAAAAACGCACAACTTTCCACGCGAAGCGTCTCCTACCCCATGTCCCCTCCCCCCTGCTTAGGGGCGCACGACTTTCACGCGAAGCGATTTCCACCCCACCTCTCTCCCTGTTTAGGAGCGCTTTTTACGCGAAACGTGCGAGAAAATGTGAAAAAAATCGTTTTTTAAATATTTGACCTTGAAAATGACCTTATCAACAATTTTCATTATCATATCCGTAATTAGAGCATCAAAATACAGTAGTATGTCAATCGATAAGAAAATCGAGGAGTTTACCTTTTCAGAAGTCTATCCGAAACGACTTCCAATTTTGTCTACTAGATTGCCGATTTTTATTGCCACCAATAATTACGAGCAATTTGATAGCAATACTCAGGCAATAGTTTCCTCTTATAAATAGATTATGGCAATTTTTATGACAACTGAAGGGAAACTTGTGCTAAGTAACTATTTTCTTTCTTATAATAAGGAGCTTGGTTATTTGGACAAATTTTGGCCTTACAAGTTACATTTATAGTTAGTTAAATATAATTTTGGATGAATGAGTTGATGTCGAAATGACCCATTTTATCCATCCAGTAGAATATCTCAAAATCTTTAAGTTTAAGACAAAAATGTTTCAGACAATAGTTGCTTAAAGAGCAAAGGAGATGATGACGGTGATTGAACTTATCTTCTTATATTGAAGCAGATATCTTTAAAATCATGTCAATATTATTTACAATTTTTTAAATGTAATTATATTTTCTTTATCTGCGATGTGATTTCTCTAATTATTCTGTACATGAAAGTATTATAAAATGGAGATACAAGGGAACCAATAATTTACGAGATATTTTATACTTTATTCTGGCACATATTGACATGATAATAAATTAAATCAACAGATTAAATAACTACATTAAAGTACAGAAAGACAAACTTCCATATATGATGCATACTACTAATGTAGTTTATAAAATTGAATGTAAGGACTGACACATCATATGTGGGCCAAATGGGAAGGACCCTCAAAACTAGAATTAGAGCATAGAAACCATATCAATCGAAATACAGACCAAAGATCAGTATCATAGAACATTCACCTAGAACAATCACACGAATTTGACTGGGACAATATTAAGATATTAGATCAAGAAAAAATATTAAACAAAAGACTCAAATCAGAAATGATTTTCATCCGCAAACAGAAAAATAGTTTGAATATACAATCAGATACGGATTCATTAAACGAAGCATATGACTTTTTATTTGAAAATAACTGAGTTTTCCCCTCTTTAATATCTCTGTTATTTGTGATTTGACTCGTGATTTGTACTTTAGTTTAGCATTGTTTAGATGTATATCGTAACGTCTGTACAGATGACACGTATATTTTTATAAGCTTAACGAATATCATGTAATTTTTTAAAATTAATAATTGTTTACGATTTTAATGTATTGTAGGATCGTAGAGTAGTCCGAATGCGAAAGAGCGCGTTATCGACCATGCGTAATTTATCCCAGCCCTGCGTTGAGTTTCTTTCCCCACTTCGCGAGGCGGCGCGGCCGGCGTTCCGACTGAGAGTGTCTTTTCAAAAAGAGGCATAATTTATCTAGACAACGACGAGTAAGGAGAACTTTATTTGTGAGATCGAATCCTACAATTTTTAATCTTACATTTTGGGGGCTCGTCCGGGATCTGGAAGAGAAGACATCCTGGGGTGAGCAACGAGAACGACGCTACGACGAGGTACGACGAGAACGGCGTGTACAACGAGGTACAAAACGTCGCATTCAACGAAGTACGACGAGGAAGACGCGTACGACGAGGTACGACGAGAACGACGCATACGACGAGGTACGACAGCAACGGCGTGTACAACGAGGTACAAGAACGTCGCATTCGACGAAGTACAACGAGAAAGACGCATACAACGAGGTACGAAAACGACGCATACGACGAAGCACGACGAGGACGACGCACAAGGTAAGGTGTGAGAGAAAAGACGAGATAAAGAAGAAAGACGAAAGACGAGACGAAGAAGAAAGACGAAAGACGAGACGAAGAAGAAAGACAAAAGACGAGACGACGAAGAAAGACGAAAGACGAGACGAAGAAGAAAGACGAAAGACGAGACGAAGAAGAAAGATGAAATACGAGACAAAAAAGACAGTGTAAATTGAAGACGATTAAACGCAAAAATGGAGACGCTCGGGCAGATTAGCTCAATCGCCGACAAGATTCGGACATCATCGCACCCAGCCGTATATGCACTTTATCAGCTCGTGTTTGAGAAAAGCGGGGATCGCACCAGTCGCAAGCAGTTGCGTGCTTTCCGCGGCTTTAGTTTCAAGGA